CAGCCCATCAACTAGTTTTTTCTGGAAGGCAGTGATGGCAGCCCCAAAATTTCTTTTATGGCAGATTTTATTTTATACCTGATTCAGGGTTGCTTTCTGAGCATTAATTCTCTTTTAAAACTGGTGAGTTGGGAGACCACACGTCTAGCCAGATGCAAGTTTTTGGCAATCTGGATAGATGTACAGTATATGCTAACACTTTTACCAGTCTCTCCGGCAAACTTACAAGAATTACCTTAGATCAAATAAGCAGCTGCTCTATAAAGGTGGCCAAATTTTTCATTTTTGGAATGTTCAATTTGTAATGGTTAATGGATTTTAATTGACAATAATTTTTGATCCCAGCAACAAGAAAATGCAAAGGATAGAAAATCTTTCTCAAACAAAATGGTAACTCTTGATGTGGCTTTTGTTCGGGAAATATATAACATATTGTAATACAAATGTTTTAGGCACATAAGAAACTTGTTTAGCACGTCTGGGATCCCATTCAAGTTGCAGGCCTAAACAGAATTTTTAAGGGCTTTTGAACAAAATGAGTTGACTCGATGGCAAGAATAAATGCTTAGAAGAAAGATTTTTCAGAATTTCCATAAAACGTTTGAGCATAGTTCTACTGGTTTATGGCCAGCTTAAGTCATGTCCTTATATCTTCCTATGAAAACCATAAAAGCAACTAGCACCAACTTTAGAGTGGCTATTGATGGCCTAATGATTTCTAACAAGGGTCCAGATTTCAAGCATCATTTGCAACTATGGAGCTGTTTTCTGTTTTTCTAGATCATGTTAATATGTGACTTAGGAAAAGTTCTTTCTTAAACACAGTTTTGCAGGGTTTCTGCAGAATTTGTTAGCAGTTCCTTGATCAGTCAGCAATCTCTGACTTTTCTATAAGTTACCACTGACCTAAGTGATCTTTTAGCTAACTATAAGGGGGGGGCACTCTTTCACACTGACCACAAATGTAAGGGGTATTCTTTCCATTGTTATTGTTGTAATTATTGTCAGGTGTTCCCTAAGATTGGAAAGTTATTTCAAGAGTACCACTGTGTTTAAAAGATTGAGAAAGACTTCTGTCCTTGTTGTGGATCTAACTTGTTCTGTTTGTCTACAGTTATCCATGTTCTTGGGTGTGAATAAATGTTCTAATAAACTACCAGAATAATTGCTACTGCTCTGAACTTTGAAAAGGGATGTCACGGTCTGGGATCAGGTTCGGGGGCCAGTGGCTGTAGCAATAGAGAGGTTCACGAATAACCAGCTGGAAATATACAAGCAGATCCCCCTAGTAGATGATGCGGGCTCACCTGAGGCACAGGGTCTCAGCACTAGATATTCTTGACCAGAGCACCTGATGGCAGGGATGGGTTTTGCTAAGTGCTAATGCCAGGTTGCTACCCTTTGGATTGCCCAGCGGGAAAACAGCAAACATGGGTCAGGTAAAAGGGACAAGCAAAAGTGTATTCGATAAACAAGACAAAAGGTTGGTAACGAGTAATAGCTGGATGAGATCAGGCAAAGGCATAGTCGATGAACAAGCCAAGGGTTGATAACGAATGGTAGCAAGGTTAAGGCAGCATCAGTTATGCAGGGAGCAAGATATCGGCTGGAGAGAAACACAATAATCTGTCAAACAGAAAGTACAGAGACATGGCTTAAATCAGGGAGTTCATGGGAGGAGCAAAGCATTCAAGGTTCACCAGAAACAAGATACAATGGAAGGTTGTCTAAGGATCAGGCAGGGAGCTGTCCAGCATCTCAGGTGGCACAGGGAGAAGAACTACAACCAGACATTGCAGAGGTCCTACCTTCGGTACCCAGGTTTAGGTCTGACATGGGATTCTCATAGCTTGTGTGCATGCTAATTTTTGAGGACATGTAGAAATGTAAAGTAGTGATATTTTCCACAGGTAATTCCTTCCATTTTCTAACTTATTCCAAAGATGAGAGTTTGGCAATTATGTTCTGCACAACTAATTTTTTTTTTTTTTTTTTTTCTCTCCATAAAAGTTTATTTAGAAGTGACAACATGTTACAGGAAAATATAAAGAAATGCACAGACAGCATCAATCAGGTCATAGATACAGCTTAAACCAAAATACAGGAAGAAACAACATGGTAAAGTGCGACACTGTGGATAACAGAAGCATGGCAAATTACGGCAGAGATAGGCCTGTAGTACTCCAGGTTCAAAAATGTACAATAGAGAAGGTAATAACAGCTTACTTCCACCAAGTGAATATTGGCGTACTGGCCTATGCATGGAGGAAATGAACCTTCAGAGCCTAAACCAAAAGCAGTGCGCACAACTAATTTTTTTAGCTTGCAGGAAAGAGTTTAAATTTAACCTGACAGATACATCACCAGGGCTTCCAACATGACCCATTCCACCAAGAATAGAATACTCTGCTCCTGGCCTTCCATAGCAACCTATTAAATTATTTGATCTATTTTCAAACTTGAACTGTAAACATGAGAGTTGAAAGCTCAGTGCTTGCTATGTGCAACATTATATTTTCTTCTTTAGCCCACCTTTCAAACATTGGACCCTTAACGGCCCCTAGACACTCTTACAGTACACTGGAGTTTAATGTCAAGGGCAAGGTTTAGCTCCAAGTTAGGCAGATGTCAATGCCCTGTGTAGTGTTTAGCCAGAAGCTCCTGGGATGCACAGAATTCAATTAGATGATTATCAAAGGCACACTTATAGCAGTAGTTTAGTGCTGACATGTTGATGCAATCTTGTACCTCCTTGTTGAGTATTTCTATTTTTCCAGTGTTGAACATGGTGGGAGATTCTAAAGCAGAGAAATGTATCTTTTACACATGTAATATTATTGGCTTGTTTTTGCCTACCTGAAATAAGTCTTACTATACATGGATACTAAACGTAGGCTTTCAATGCCTCTGAGCAGCTCCAGCTGCAGAGTCTAAAAAGGGTGTATTTGAACTACTTGGCTCAGCAGACACTTCTATGTTCTTCAGACATAGCATTGCACCATACCGTTCCATTTAGGGCCATGCTAAGCCATTAACTTCAATGACTTGCCTTAGCACAGTTTCACCAGTAGAGTTATAGTTTACCAGGCCTAACAGAACCTTGGACAACATGCTTCTCCTGCATCCACAGCTTGCAAGAACAAAGCCTAGTAGAAATCATAGGAAAGAGTGTGGCAAGGGCATGTGTTTTGCTAGAAAAATTGGACATAACAAGCTGTTCTCCATACTCATTTTAAGGGTGGTTAAACTTATTTTTGCTGTGCAAGAATATAGTATTCCCAAATTATGCTGAAGATGTCTTGGTAACCACCACTGACTGGTGGATGAATCAAGGAAACTCCCCTAGACGAATCAGGAGTATGCATGCTGAATAAAGAATATAAAGGGAAACTTCTCACAGGGAGTAATGTTTAGAAGCCTGTTCCACAAGTCTCAATGAGCAATATTTTCTCCTAAATCTATGAGATGGGTTACACTCCAATGGAATAGGCTCTTGTCATGGGAGAAAACTGGAGTTCTGCTGCCTCAAATGTGAAAGGAGATTCTGAGTATTAGCATAGGGTTGCTAAAGCGCTGTCACCTATATACACATTTTGGAAACAGATTGTTCATCCAGGAGATGGACAGCAGAGGCCCTTTCAACAGTTAAGGTATATGTAATTCATAACTGGATTCCATTAGGTTTGCGTTATATCTGGGTATCATAAACAATTGTCGTCGTCTTTTATTTTTCTCCTAGAAAAACACTGTTTTCATCTTTTTTATAATCCTTGTTTGCATCTCAATGCTGCTGATCTCTTCCAGCCTCTTTGCACCCACTTCTGGTCTACATGCATGTGCTGCATTGTCAGTTGTATGTAATTTCTCTGGACTGACCTAAAGTTTAGTGACAGTGGCAGAACATGCTTATGAAATTACCGTCAGTACTGCTGCTTATGGACTCCACCAGAAGTGCATGTGACAGGGTGGGAATGCAGCAGAGCAATTGGTAGACAGGGACAGTGTCACTCTGAAACAGGATATGCCTGAACAAGCCAGGATCACCAGGTATTTTATTAAAAGCTATAGATTTTACCTTTACGTTATTTGATATTTTAATGATTTGGCTTAATAACCAAAAAGCAGAAAACTCCATTAAAGCAGAACTCCATTAATTTTTTTTATGTCCGCACTGCATGGGTTAACTGCTTGTTTTGTCCAGGGCTGCACACATAGGCTATATACTTACCCAATCCTTTGATCCTTCAAAAAACAGCGCTCCCCCAGATCCAGCAGTGGACTGTTCCTTATCATCCTCACATCCAGAGCCGGTTTATGGGCCTGATGACATCAGGAACAGTCAATGCATAAAGACCAGTAGCATGTGGAGGGGCTAAGAATGGCAGGCACCAGTCTTGCTCTAGGAGAATCGGCAGCTTAGATTAGGTAAATATACACTATATTGCCAAAAGTATTGGGACACCTGCCTTTACGCAGGACTAAGACTGGGACTAAGACTGGCATCCCAGTCTTAGTCTGTAGTGTTCAAATATTGAGTTGGCCCACCCTTTGTAGCTATAATAGCTTCAACTGTCCACAAGGTTTAGGAGTGTGTCTATGGGAATGTTTGACCATTCTTCCAAAGCGCATTTGTGAGGTCAGGCACTGATGTCGGTTGAGAAGGCCTGGCTTGTAGTCTTTGCTCCTAATTCTAATCCCTAAGGTTTTCTATTGGGTTGAGGTCAGGACTCTGTGCTCAGGCCAGTCAAGTTCTTCAACCCCAAACTTGCTCATCCATGTTTTTATGGATCTTGCTTTGTGCAACTGGTTTTTATGCCCCAGTAAGTTGGAACAGGAAGGGGCCATCCCCAAACTGTTCCCACAAAGTTGGGAGCATGAAATTGTCCAAAATGTCTTGGTATGCTGACGCTCCTTAAGAGTTCCCTTCACTGGAACTAAGTGGCCAAGCCCAAACCCAATGATAAAAACAGCCACCACTATAATCACCCCTCTACCAAGCTTTACACTTGGCACAATGCAGTCAGGCAAGTATACTGTTCTCCTGGCAAGCTGCCAAACCCAGACAAATCCATCGGATTGCTCAGACTGAAGAGAAGCAATGATTCATCACTCCAGAGAACACACGTCTCCACTGCTCTAGAGTCCAGTTGCAGCGTGCTCTTACACCACTGCATCCGAATTGCTTCTGCACTTGGTGATGTAAGGCTTGGATGCAGATGACTGCTCGGCCATGGAAACTCATTCCATGAAGCTCTCTACACACTGTTGTTGTTGCTAATCGGAAAGGCCATACAAAGTTTGCAGGTTTTTAGCTATTGATGCTGAAGACATGTTGGCAAACTTCTGTGCACTGTGCACTTCAGCATGCGCTGATCCCGCTCTGTAATTTTTACGTGATCTACCATTTTGTGGCTGAGTTGCTCCCAGTTTCTTCCACTTTGTTATAATACCACTAACAGTTGACCGTGGAATATTTAGTAGCAAGGAAATTATCAAGGATGGACTTATTGCAAAGGTGGTAGACCTATCACGATACCACGCTTGAATTCACTGAGACTCTTGAGAGTGAACCCATTCTTTCACAAATGTTGTGTGGAAGCAGTCTGCATGCCTAGGTGCTTGATTTTGTACTCCTGTGGCCGATGGAGGTGATTGGAAACCCTGAATCACCAATGATTTGGAGGGACTGGCCCAAATTGTTTGCCATATATTAGTGTATCTCCGCTTCTCTTCATCCCTAGGCAAAAAACAAGCATTTTAACCCATGCAGTCGTGTGGCACATCCCCACTGCATGGGAATTTGTTTCTTTTCATGGAATTCTTCTTTATAAGGGCCCTTTCACAACAGCGATCATGCTTTTTAGCAAAAGAGTGCACTGGTGTGTTTGTAACAATGCATCGTAGTGCTTACTTTTTTTCTTGATTTTTGTATTTTACATTATTTAAAGGGAAATAAATAATTTTAATGCATGTAATGCACAACAAATGTATATGGTGTAAGCAGAACACAAAGAAAACAATTGTGTTCTTGTGTTGAGCTGCATTAACCACTTGCCCTCTAGAGGATTTACCACCCTAAATGACCAGTCCTTTTTTTGCTATTAGGCGCTGCACTATTTTCAAGTGGTAATTGTGCTCAGTCACGCAATGCTGTCTACAAACTTATGGTATAGATACTGCAAATTCTTACTATATATAAAAATTTTAAATTCAAAATATTAAAAAAAAAAAGACAAAAAATATGTTTTTGTGTTTTCTTTCTTCATTTTTCTCAAAAACGTGGCAACAAATAAAAAAGATCTGCAAAAATACTCACAATGCTTAATTATCAATTTTCTTGGGGTGTCTACACTTTCAAAAACGGGGGTCATTTGGGGGGGGTTTTGGTGCTATCCCGGCATATTTCAGGGCCTCCGAAACTGTGATACGGTAAGTGAGGAAGTGAATATGAGGAAGTACGCACCTTTCAGGCTTTCAAAGTGGTCATTGGATTTCAGGCTCCTGTATGTGGCTAGGCTTCCAAAAAGTCTCACACATGTGGTATCCTTCATACTCAGGAGAAATATAGCCAGAATGTATTTTGGGGAGTAATTTCACATATACCCATGGCATGCTGGTGAGCAATAAAAATTATTTAATGACAATTTTGTGTAAAAAAAAAAAAATTTTTTTGTCATTTTCCGATAAAAATTTTTGGTAAATAATAAATATTTATTCTGTTGACTCAACATGCCTCTCAGCAAATAGACTTGGGGTGCAGGGGCGGACATGACGGACTCATGGGGCCGTACGGGCAATAGGATGATCATGGGGCCCCTGGGTCCCTGCCCACTCAAGCCGCACGCCCACACAAAGCCCACAATACATATTTACACTGCCCCGCAATACATGAGTTTGTCACAGATACAGTATGTTCAAAATAAAATGTTTATTACCAAAATAAAGAAAAAAAAACTTACATTAAAGAGAGCGCAACAATGGTACATTTCAAATGAAGGGTTTTAATGATTTTTCCTATTCCTTCCGCACTGACACCAATGATAGGGCAACTATTCGTCCCACTGACACCCAATGATAGGGCACTATCTCCTCCCACTGATACCCAATGATGTGGCACTATTCTTCCCACTGACACCAATGACTCTAGGACATTATTCCTTTCACTGACATGAATGATAAAGCACTATTCATTCCACTGATACCAATGATGGGGGCATTATTCCTCCCACTGATACCAACGAAGTGGGGCGCTGATTCTCCCCATTGACACACAAAAGGTGGGATGCTATTCCTCCCTAATACAAAGATGCATGGTTATACCTACCCATGATTCCAGGACAATTTTGATCCTATAAGACCACAGTCCGGCCCCCTAAAACCTGAAGGACAGTAAACTGGCCCTTGATTCTAAATTTGGGGTCTCCAAAACTTTCTAACAAAAGCATATTCCATGTAGTTAGAATGGCCCAGTCACAGTCCAGACCGTAAATCCAATGGAGAATCTGTGATGCTCACACCTGAAATTACTGTTCAACAGACGCTCTCCATCCCATAACAGCGCTTTGAGTGATTCTGCAAAGAAGAATGGGCAGAATGTCCCTCTGTAGATGTGCAAAGCTGAGGAGAGACGTCCCCCAAAAAGACTTGCAGATGGAATTGCAGCCAAAAGGGGGTCCTACAAAAATACTGTACCTCCATAGGGGGCCGAATACAAATGGCACCACACTTTTCACAGATTTATTGGTCACAAATGTTGGAAACCATTTCTCATTTTCCTTCCCACTTCACAATTATGTGCCACTTTGTGTTGGTTTATCAACTATCCAATCCCAATAAATATATTGTAACATGACATACTCATGGGGGACATTTCAGGGAGGGGAGAATACATTGTAACATGACAACATGGGGGACATTTCAGGGGCGGGAAATACATTGTAACATGACAAACATGGGGGGACATTTTGGGTAGGGGGGGCGAATACCTTGTACATGACAACATGGGGGGACATTTTCAGGGGGGGAAATACATTGTAACATGACACAACATAGGGGGACATTTCGGGGGTGGGACGGGGGAAATAAAATTGCTTATCCAATAACAACCCATGGGGGACCATTTCATACGAGGGGGGGTGAATACATTAGTAACATGACAACATGGGGGACTACATTTCAGAGGGGGGGAATACATTGTAACCATGAACAACATGGAGGACATTTCAGGGGGGGCCGGTGCGGGGAAGGGAATAACATTGTGTGAAAATGACACATGGGGGACATTTCAGTCGTGAGGAAGACTTTTTCAAGCCACTGTATATATCATGATATCTGTACATACTTAGTGTATTCCTTATATATAACACTGAATATCTGTACACTGATATGTGGCAATGATTGGCACATGATATGTGGCATTGATTAGCAATGATATGTGGTATTGATGTGCATTGATCGTTGGCACTGGGACAGGTGGCAATTGACGGACACTGACAGGTGACATTAATGGACACTGACAGGTGGCACTGATGGGGCTACATGATCATCAGGACACTGATCAGTGCCCCTGAAGTTCAGTGTAGATGTCCCCTCTGAGTAATGCCCATTACTGGTTTCTCCTCTCCTCACTGGCTGTCAGCATGACAGGAATTTCCTTATTTACATGCGATCAGCTGTGATTGGACACAGCTGATCACCATAGACCGAGCCAATGTCTTCGGCTCTTTCCACTGGTCAGTGATACGCTGCTGTCCCAGGGATACATGTGCACACACCGATCATTGGAGAGTGGGAGGACATGACATGAATGTCCTCCCAGAACAAGAGAAAAACGCCACCTGTACCATCTCATTTCCTTATATGGCAGGCGGGAGATGGTTAAAGTTGCAGTGCTGTCAGTGTCACCGAGGGTCGGAAGATTACACACTAACCTGCTCGCAGGATACATGGAGCTCAGGTCAGCACAACGATCGACTCCCGGCTCTCTTCTCTGGCCGCCTGTAGCAGGATGTGGGCCCGGACCTCTGAGGAAAACTCGAGGTTAGAGGTGTCCACAAAGCTGCCTGGCCGTGGCACACCATCATTCCTCTTCTAAACCACCTGAAGATCAAGCCTTTTCTGACACTTTTTGTTCAAATGAAAAAATCAGTACATTTTTGCTAGGAAATTACTTTGAACCCTCAAACACACTTATATATTTTATTACAGCAGACACCCTAGTGAATAAAAAATGGTGGGTGTTGAAATTTTTTATGTCACATAGTACTTGCGCAGCGATTTTTTAAACGCAAATTTTTTGAAAAAAAATAAACTTTTTTGAATTGTAAAGCACAAAACCACTCAAGTATTCATATTGGCAAATTATTTAGTAACTCATAAATAATAATAATCTCATCACAACAGCAACTGCACACTCTTACTTATGTATAATTCTGAGAGCAAGGACCCATGTTGCTGATCCAGAATTATAACAAGTCAGGCACTGCAGTTTTGAATGACATTCCTGGTAAGAAAACACACAATGGTTAAACAATTAATAACTCAGTACACAATATAAAACAACTTTTTATTGTATATCTGCATGCCAGAAAACAAAGTGTGTGGGTGGTTATGCCCACCATTAGATGTTACCTCCCTGCATCCACCACTTCTAATGCGTGCGGCACACATGAAATGTGCACAACAAATATTATAAAATAATATATGTTGAAGCATAGGGCCAT